ACATTTAAAAGAAAAAAAAATTCTGTGCCACTTTGGGTTAAGATGGACTTTAATGTCAAAATATTTTCATTATAGAATGAAAGCTTAAAAATAAAATGAAAATTATACTCTACTCATCATAAATTCAGTTAAAATCACATCTACAAAATAATCCCACAACCCTGCCCAAACTGAATCATTAAATTATCTTAAAATAGTTTTATTAACTTGAGGTTTTAACAGAACTTGGAATAATATTTTTAATGTACTACATACATGACTTCTTTATTTGGCTGTACTCAATCTATTTTAGTTCTACTGTGTTTTCAAGAACTAGTTGCACTGTAGCTATTTTCAAAATAGTTAACATTCAGCTTGCTACTAGTTGATATAACCTCTGGAAAGAAGCATGGGAATGTTCCAGCCTTAAAGACTCACCTTCAGTGTTACGTATTTGAAAATTGCATACTGTTATACTTTTCCCTTCCTCTTTCCCATTTATAGATTTATCTTCTTAAAATTGAGAAAAATGAGGGATCACAATAGAGGATCCCAGACAGGGTGGGAGAAAAATGTAGAACAAAATTCAAATTCACAAAAAAAGACCAGACTTACTGGTTTGACAGAGACTGGAGGAACCCTAGAGACTGTGGCCTCCGGACACCCTGCTAACTCAGAACTAAAGCCACTCCCAAAGTCCACCTTTCAGCCAAAGTTTAGACAGGCCTATAAAACAAACAGTAACATATATAAGGAATGTGCTTCTTCGTCCAATCAAGCATATGAGACCAAATGAGCAAAAACTGCCCAAAAGCAAAGACAAGAAGGTAGGAAAGGACAGGAAAACTGGACAAATGGACACAGGAACCAGGGGTGGAACGGGGGAGGGGGCTGACACATTGCAAGAATTGCAACCAATGTCACAAAATAATTTATGTATAAATTTTTGAATGAGAAACTAATTTGCACTGTTAAACTTTCACCTAAAGCACAATAAAATTTAAAAAAAAAAATCCCCTGAAGTCTTCTTAAAACCAAACAATAGTTTAGCTTAACATTTTTAGTAAAAAAAATGTCTGCCTTGAGCATTATACTGTTTTAAGAAATATCTATAGGGGATCAGACTGACAACAGTAACTCAAAAGATTAGACAGAAACCTTAGTGGGCAGTGAATTTATGTTAATGGCGGAGGAGCAAGCCAGAAAAGGAGGGTGAGAATGGTTGCACAACTCGAAGAATGTAATTAATGTCACTAAATGGTACACATAGAAACTGTTGAATTGGTGTATGTTTTGCTGTGTATATTCTCAACAACAACATGAACGTAAATTTTTAAAAATTTTTTTTAAATTAAATGTCAGTTATTCCTAAACTGGTAGCTCAGTGGTAAAGCACTCGGCTGCTAACTGAAAGGCCGGTGATTGGAACCCACCAGCCACTCCTTAGGAGAAAGATGCGGCAGTCTGCTTCCGTAAAGATTATAGCCTTGGAAACCCTATAGGATAGTTGCCTTGGAAACCCTATAGGATAGTTGTATTCTGTCCTATAGGTTTCCTATGAGTCAGAATTAACTTGATGGCAACGAGTTTGGTTTCCAGTTTTTATTCCCAAATCCTCTGAATAATGAGGCAGGAGAAAATTAATAGATAAACTGAAATATCTTTTAGGTGCTGTTTTCCACTTACCTCTGAGTATCTTGCTGGAAGTTTTGTTAGAAAACAAGAGCAATGCCTTTCCATCTAACTTATCTATCTAGTAAGAAAAAAATTATGCCAACTGAGCTATCACTTTCATGTTGCTAATGCATTGTTAGATAGAGCCTATTTCACAATATAGAGCCAACCAAAGTAGGGCCTACATCTGTAGTCCTTCATAATTTTTAAAATTTAAGATCTTTTGAGGAAAGTTAAAATATCAAATTTAAAAAGCTTAAGTAAAATAATTTGCTTCTTCAGATTTTTTACAACATTAAATAATCAAGAATATTCCTAAAATGTTTTTTTATCCAGAAGCCAGATTGTTTTAAATCCTACTAATCATGAACTTCTGTTTGTAAATTTTAAAACGTTGTGACATTACTCTAATACATTTACTTAATTTTAAAATTATTCTATTAGAGTTGGAAGTTTGACTTTAAATATTTAATTTTTAGAACTATACGTTTTAGGAGTTTATGCTATGATTACAATAAAAATAAAACCGAAATTCTTCTAAAAAAAAACAGAAAAATGAACAACATAATCTATTTTATCTGTGAGTATACTTTGTCATCAAAATTATTTTTTTAAAAAATCACACAGAAATGGAGACTTAGAAATTATCTATGATACAATTCAAGGAGTTCTGGGTCAACTTTGAATCATAGTGGGCCAAGTAGATCCACAAACCGACCCTCTGGTTATTTCCTCTTTTCCTTAACACATAACCAGAATAGACAAACTTGGCAACTGGCACAATCCTCTCATTGGCTCTCTGATCCATGGAGAAAGGACCACTGTGGTAGGAAGGCCAAGTAGAAACCCTTAAAACTTCCTCTCCCAACCAAGATACTAAAAAAAAAGCAAAACTTAAAAGATGAAAAGGTAATGACTGCTATCACATCTCATTTGCCTGTTTGGCCTCTAGATAAGGCAGATGAAGCTTGGACACAACTACTGTGGATTATCGTAAGTGTAGTCAGGTTGTGACTCCAATTGCAGCTGGTATTCAAGACATAGTATTTTAACTGGAGCAAATCAACATAACCCCTGTAACCTGTTAAGCAAACACTTTTTTTCTCTGTATTTGCAAGAACCTCCAGACGCATTTTGCTCTAACCTGACAGTATTAACAGTACGCTATCACCATCTTAAATCTATGTCAACTCTCCTGCTCTCTATCATAACATAATACACAGAGATTTTGATCATACTGCGAGTTCACACAACATCACACTGGTCCATTAAGCTGATGACATTATACTATTGGACCCAATGAGCAAGAAGTAGTGAGTGCTTTAGATATTTTGGGAAGTCAAACCCCACTCTTAGGTTTCTATCCCAGTCAGAGTCCAACTACGAAGCAAAAATTACATCATTTATTTTAACAGAAAGATTTTAATATAAAGAAATAGGCAAGTATAAAACTGGGAACTAGTAGGGCTGACTACAATAGGCATAAGAGAATTTTGGGTAGGTGATGAAACTATTCTATAGCTTGACTGTGGTGGTAGTTACATGACTACATATGTTTGTAAAAACCCATAGAACTTTACATCAGAAAGTGTAAATATATTGTTTGTAAATTGTATCTGCATGTATAAATATCAAATATCCATTTTTTCCTGACATCAACTATGAAGCTATAACAAATCCCCACTTTCCACTTCTCTGTTCAGTTCTGACACCAGCTGCCCATGCAACACTTCTTTCTCTGACTGTAACTACCTGGAGCTAGGTCAGATCTTGCCAAGTTAGTCCAGGACTGCAGATGCCAGCTGAAAGTTTCAGAGTCCCTGGGACTCCCCTGACTTCTGACATGCTGGCTACAATTCAGGGTTTTCTCATGAACCCTTCAGGATGACAGCCACTAGCTCAGGGGCACTCTCTGGGCTCCCTCACTTCTGATCTCCTGGCTACAAATTTGGGGTTCCCTCTGCCCTCTAAGGATGCCAGCCCCAAGCTTGAGGGCATCCCCTGGGCTCCCTCACTTCTGATCTGCTGACTCCCACTTTTTCTTTGGGCTCGATAATTCACTGGAACAACTCACAGAGCTCATGGAAAGTGCTATGCTTATGATTACAGCTTTATTAAAAAGGATACAAATCAGGATCAGAATAAAGAAAAGACACACAGGGTGAGGTTTTAGAGGGCTGCCAACATGAAGACTCCATGTCCCAAGAGACACGTTATCCTCTCACTTGCATTGATGTCTTTCACCAACCAGGAAGCCCATGGAGCTTCCATATTGAGAGCTTTTATTGGGGCGGGAGGTGGGTCTCATTACATAATACAAACTCCAGCCCTCTCCTGAGGTCAGTAGGTATCACGAAATGATCAGGAGGCATTACATGGTGGGTCTTTCTGGCCTGGTCAGTCCCCACCCCAGAGTTAACTCATCACCTCAACTAACCGGTTAACTGGAGTTCTAATCAAAGACCCTCACATTCCTAGGTTTTTTTTTTTTTTTTTTAAGAGATTATCTCTCAGGAACAAATTCTTTGGGCAAGGTTAACATAAAACCAAATCCACTGCCATCAAGTTGAATTCTGACTCATAGTGACCCTACAGGACACTCTACCAGAACTGTCCCATAGGGTTTCCAAGGCTATAAATCTTTACGGAAGCAGACCATCCCATCTTTCTCCCACGGAGCTGCTGGTAAGGTGAAACTACATGCCAAATGACTTACTTGCATAATGTTACTCAAATGACTGAAAATAGGAACCCATTCGGTTTTCAACAATCATTTTTGTCTAACATGCTAAGCAGGGTGGTAGAACACTGCCTTACGGGGAATATTAGTGTGTCAACTCGTGCCTTTTTGTTTAAGTGTTTATACAACTTTCCTAACTGGACAGTTGTTGTGTGCCGTGGAGTCGATTCCGACTCATAGCGACCCTACAGCACAGAGTTTGTAATCCAGAACTACTCATTACTCCAAGTGACTAAATCAGGGACTTGCTGTCTCTGGAAGCTTTACTCTCAGGTGACTGTAAATACTTTCCAAGAAAGTGGTGGTAACACAGGAGGCCGCAAAAATCGTAGGTGGGCACCGGCAGTACAGTGGATCGGAAATGCGGCAGCGGCTTCCCTAGCACCTGCCCTTGGGAGTCCCTCAACGAGTAGCGGCGCCTCCTCCCTTCCCGGCCTCAGTTCCCCATCTGTACTCCAGGGGTCGGACGAGTGGACTCTTGGCGCCCTTCCAACTCGATTACCAGATCTGTCTTGGGCAGCCGCTGCTCGGTCGCCCACCCCTGCTCAGGCCGTCCTCGGCGTGAGGGCGACGCTGAAGGAGCCGGTCCGTGGCGCCCCGCACTCACCCGGCTGACGCTTCATCGCCATCAGGGACACCAGATAGTGGGCGATGTCAAAAAAGGGGAACATGGACGTGCGGGAAAAGGCAAGAGTCAGCTCATCCCACGGAGACTCCATGACTACGACCGACCGTGGCAGCGGCCGGTTCCCGGCGTGCGCGGTAACGAAGGGGGGAGGGGACAGCCGCGGCCGCGCGCGCTCCCGCGCGGTCTCGAATTCTGCGCGTGCGCCCTGGCACCAGGACCGGCGCGCAGAGAGGAGGGGCGGGGCCGCGTGTCCCGAAGCCATAGACTGTGAGGCGGTTGGCGGGTGGGCGGGATGAGAAGGTTCCTCGTGTTCCCACGGCGGCTGGCTCTAGATCTGCTAATAAGGAGCTAGCATTTTGTCCTGGCTGAGTGCTGTGCCAGACTCGGGAAGAGTGGGCAGATGAGTAAAACATATCCCTGAAGGAGAGACGCTCGGAGTCAGATTTATTTCTGCAAACTGATGTTATTCACCACACATTTATTGAGCAACCATAGTGTGCATGTCACACTGTGACTTACTGGAGATGAAAAGAATACAGTAATATCCTGCCCTCAAGAAAGATACATACCCGCGCACACACACACACAAGTAATTTGTAGAAAACAGGTACTGAGAAGTGCGAGGGAAATTTAAAGAAGATTATTTCAGGGAAGTGAAATGACATGTAAATTGAACTTTAAGAGCTAAGTGAGCTCTGAATGTGCAGAGATGGAGGGAGATGTTTTAGCTAGAAAATGAGAAATGAGGTTGGAAAAATAGCTAAGACTCTTAAGTCTTTATATTGTAGCTAGCGCGGTGCAATTGAAGGCTTTTGAGCAGAGAAATCCTTTTTTTTTTTTTAACGCAAGCAAATACTAATATAGCACTTAGTATGTGCCAGGCACTGTTCTAAATACAAGGGTTAACTCATTTAATGCCCTGTGAGGTAGGTACTATTATTATCCCCATGTTATAGATGAGTAAGCTGAGGCACAGTGAGGTTAAGTAACATCCAAGGCAACCCAGCCGGAAAGTGGTAGAACCAGGATATAAAACGGGTGGTTTGGCTCCAGAGTTTTAAGCTCTTGATTACTACATTATGCTCAGGCATATCAGAGCCAGAATTCATTCTCTTAACCATTATGCTAAGCTGTTTTGTTGTTGGTTTTTTTGTTTTTGTTTTTGTTTTTGTTTTTGTTTTTAGGGGTAGGTAGCAGGGAGGAGTCAATTAAGCAGCAGGCTTTGGAACACATTGGTGAAAAAAGACTTTTAAAAAAAAACCAAACCCATTGCCATAGAGTCAGTTCCAACTCACGGTGACCCTATGCATTACAGAGTAGAACTTTTGAACCGTCAACCTTTAGGATAGTAGCCGAGAGCAAACCATTTTTGACACCCAGGGACCTTCAGAAAAGACTAGAGGCAGGGAAAATCAGAGGGTATTCACTCCTCCAAACCCAAGGTAGTGGGAAATGAGGGCAATAGAAGCAGGGGACAGGACCCAGGTGGGGAACGACTTGGTAGAAGCAGAATAGGCTGAAGGCCAATTAAACCTGTTAATGTGGGAAAGGGAGCCATAGTCATCAAAGAAGAAAATGGGAAATGGATGAGAAGGATGATTATAGCTGCATTCAGAGAAATAGGAAACAAAGAGAAAACAGGTTTAGGTAAGTACAAAAGTTTAGTCTGGCACATTTCTATGTGATGCATCATCAGATCATGCTGGCACCTGGAAATTGGAAATACATGATGAGCTCCTAGAGCTACATGGGAGTATGCACTGTAAAGTGAGATTTACATTGATTTTTATCTGAATATTTATTCATTAATTTTAATTCATTCAACGACTGTTTTTTGCATGCCTATAATGTAACAGGAATTTTGCTGGATGTCAGAGGTATTGCCATCAACACTTGAGTGTTGAACAAATGTGAGAAAATTGTAATAAATTTCTACATGTTCTGTTACTACTCAAGAAACAATAAGGCTTTGGGTTTTTCTTGCTGTTTTGTATATTCTTGGTATTTTGTATTTTGCTAAAATATTTTTCATATGTGATTTTCTAAGCAAACACTTCCTATAGAGAAAAGGCTTTTGCCCTCTAGCAAAACTAAAGAAAAAGAGAAACATCTATAATTATTTATACTTTCATGGCTGAGTCAGTTCATTCCATACTTTTTATACATTTCCTTATCTCTGGAATCTTTGCTTTGTGAATTTAGGGGCAAAATTTGGTATGGTGAAATGAGTTCCTTTATGTGGCCTTTTGCCTTGGTTCTTCAGACAAACAACTTGAGAGATTTTGCCCTTAAGACCTGAGGAGTTACCTTTGCCCTAGTTTTCTACCCCACTGGGTTTGTTATATTTCCTGGGTGAACCCTGAACAACTTGGTTTGATACTTTCAGTCTTGCCCTGGGCTGTAGCCTGCCGTGTGATTGGTATGCACCTTGCAGGTATTGGTCAATAGACTATGCAAATAAAGTGACTACTATGCAAACAAAGTGTCTGTGGCTAACGGAGATGAGATTAGTCAGTCTGTGGCCTCACTGAGAGGGGCCATGCCTTGAAATTGACAAGGAGTTGTGTATATAAGCAGCCAGCTCCACAGAGGTTTAGCAGGCAGGAGCAGGAAGAGAAGCAGAAGGAAGAAAGAAGAAATAGAGAGCAGGCAAGGAAACTTCTAAAAGGGCTGTTATACGGAAGATAACAAGAGACCCAGAAGGGGCCCAGTGGCAGAGCCAGTGGGGACAGGCCAGGAAGGGGCCCTGTGGCAGAGACGGTGGTGACAGACAGCAGAGCAAACAAGAGACTGTCCTCAGGGCCAAGAGGACGCCTGTCCTGAGGGGACTGAGAGGAGGCCTACATGGTCTAAAGGAACTGAGAGAGCTATCCTGTACTGAAGAAGGAAGACTTTGCCTACATGCTTCCTGAGCCTGATCCTGAGTTGTAGCCTGTTGATCCTAAGTCCAAGTTGTACCCTGTTCCTTAAGAAACTACTTAACTGTAAGTATTGTCTGTGAGTTCTGTGTGTCCATTGTAACGGATTATCGAACCTAGAAGCAGAGAGTGTCATGGGAGGGATGGCTGGTGTCAGAATTGGTAAAAGGGTTGGAGAGTGGAGGTATGTCTGACCTCCACCTCATACAGATCAGCCTTGGGCTCATCTTGATTTGCATTATCCCCACTAAAGTTAGGCAGGTTCTGAGGAAACTATCACTACTCTTACCATTTCACATTATAATAGCCTTAAATTTCACACACAAAAAAGAAAAAATGTGTATCACCCTTTAACTTAAAAAAAATACACTTAAACATGAAGTAATCTTTATAACGTCTGTAAACTGTATGCCTATATCAGTATCATTCTTGGGTATAGGTAATTCATTATTAACACCAAGAGGGCAACATTGAAAAGCATCAGCGATTTTTTTCGTTTTTTTTTTGTAAAGAAGATAACTCAAGCATTTTACTTACCTACACAGATTAATTCTGACAGTAAGAAATTAATAACCTCAGATTTAGTAATCTGAAATTTGTTTCATTTCAAAACTGTAAGGATAAGCTTGGTCCCATCTACCTAGGCCTAAAGAAATTTAAAAAAAAAAAAGATTTAAGGGAAGTGAAATAGTAATCTCACAAAAAGACAAGTTCTATCTAAATTTTAAATGTGCTCACTGTATTGGCTTCTGGCCCATGACTGGGTTATTTAGCCTAATGAAATGGGACTTAATAGAAGGAAATGGGGAATGGAAGGAGGGAGGCTTTGAACTGATAAGAAGGAAAGGCAAGACTTGGGCAAATTACGTGTGAAAATTCAGACTTTTCCTGATTCTTGAAAACTGTTTACAAAGTTAAATAATTATGGCAGGTAAAATGGATCCAAATTGTAAAATATAGATTATCTATTAAAAACTGAAATTGGTCTAATTGTATTGACATCTGAACAAGAGTTTTGACTAAACATATTGGAAGGATTTTTTATTTCAAAAAACGTGACACTAATTTCTATAAACCAGATTTCTCAATAGTAACATTATTGACATTCTGGGTCAAATAATTTTTGTTGTGGGGGGCTGTCCTGTGCATTGTAGCAGCATCCCTAGCCTCTATCTACTAAATGCCAGTAGCACACCACCACCACCACCCCTAGTTGTGATAATCCCCAGAGAACGTCTTAGGCATTGCCAAATGTCTCCTGGGAGCACAAAATCACCCCTGGTTCAGAACCACTGTTACAAATAAATACTTTTTTTAGCAGTATGTATCTCTATTAATACAAACATCATGGTCATGTCACTGATATTAATCATCAGGTTAATTCTAGAACAACTCACAGTAACCCTTCTAAGTCTTAGCGGGCTCAAGTTGGCAATGTCCTGACACCCAGTGTCAAAAACGTAATCCTAGCTGTTTCTTCCTTGCAGTACTGCTTTTTATCCACTGAGTGTCATACCCTTCACTTTGGGAAATCAATAACTATTTGTAAAAGGGCCATAAAGAGTCCATGATTATGAAGTTTCACATAAAAGGACCAATTGCCCTTCTAAGCTTTAGTGTTCTGGTTAGGCATTTTCATTCTAAAGTCGTTTTAATAACGACACTGCATCAAATTACATTGTAATAAAATGTGACATTTAAGACAAAGCATATTTAATTGAATGCAACCTTTTTAATGTTCAGCATCATGAAGGAAAATTAACTAGAGGGTACCAATTGCCCTCAAAATACCCAGTGAATTCAATCAGTACAGTGAGATGCTGGTGCATAAGATTTAAGTGGTAAACTAAGTCAAGTATACACTCAACTTTTAGACACTGCTCATCTGTCAGTTTGTCATACTGTGGTGGCTTGAGTGTTGCTGTAATACTGGAAGCTATGCCAGTGGTATTTCAAATACCAGCAGGTCACCCATGGCAGACAGGTTTCAGTAGAGCTTTCAGACTAAGAGAGACTAGGAAGAAGGAACTGGCAGTCTGCTTCTGAAAAACTGGCCAGTGAAAACCTTACGAATAGCAGCAGAACAATTGTCTGATATAGTACCAGAAGATGAGTCCCTCGGGTTGGAAGGCATTCAAAATATGACTGGGGAAGAGCTGCTTTCTCAAAGTGAATTGACCTTGATGATGTGGGTGGAGTCAAGCTTCCGGGACCTTCACTTGCTAATGTGGCATGAATCAAAATGGGAAGAAACAACTACAAA